GGGTGCGGAGCGCCGCGGCGGGTCCCTCCCCTCGCCCGGGCTGGCGAGCTGGGCTCGATTTGTTTGTTTGTTGATGCTCTTTTCTACCTGTGCACTTTTCTCTCTCTCTCTCGGACAGAAATAAGTGGAAAGGCCAAGTCTCACAGAGTGCCCTCCCCGCGGCCAAGTGTCGCTTTGGGCTCGCGGAAACTTAGTCTTAGAGGAGCTGCCTTGCAAGTTGAGTATTTAGTGTCCAAGAAGTTGGATAAAGTGGAAGGAAAGAGGCGCATAATTGGTGTTTCTTGTCAACAGGTCAAAACTGAAAAAGGCCACACTTCGTAAGGTGCCGCTTTCATGCTTCAGAACGTTTTGTCAAGGTGGTTGTGTTACGTACACAAATGAATTGAGAAAGAATATTTAAGCTGCAGTTTCAACCATAAAGTTAGAGCAAGAGATAGCTGAGAAAACGTAGAAATAACTGCTTGGATTTTGGTCTTCTGGGTGCTACAAAAAATGTCACGTCAGCTTCAAAGTTTCAAAACCTGAGTTTGAGCGTTCCCTTTTGTTATTATTTTAAATCTCAGCAGAAGATTATGAAATTCTATTCAAAACCAGGCACAGACTTCTAAGGGTTTATTGATATCCTCAAGATCATATCCTAAATCCAAACAACTTTCCAGAGCCTTCATATTATCATTTCGGGCCTTCTGGATTATGTGAAATGTAAGGGGTCTACCACAATGACACCTCATGGACTTGAAACTTCATTCTTTCTTTATATCATAAAGACTTTTCCGTCTTCTGGAGTCGTAGAGGAAAATGCAGCTGCTGGTGTAATGGCCCACCAAACAGACCAGACTCTAGCTGCCTTGTAGGAAAAGTGAGCAAGAGCCAGAAGGGGGGTGCACAGAGGCACTGAAAGCACTGGTCAAAAGCCACCGAAAACAAAATACAAAATATGCTGTCTTCACATGTGCTGCAGACACTGAATCCTCATCTGCGGCATGCTGTTGCTGATTCTGTGTGCCTTCACCTCTCAATTCATTCCTTTTCTTTCTGTCTGATACTGTTGTGATGGGCAAGAGCCAAGTAAGCCAGAACTTTCCTAGGTCACGTGTTTCCGCCACTGCTGGTCACCTCTTGCCCTGATGGCAGCTGAAAGTCTGTTTGATTTATTTGGGGACTGAGTTGTGCAGTAAATAGTATGACTCGCTTCTGAAGGTATGTTTAACTGCCCAATTAGTGTGCAAAGTGTGGGAAGTTAAAGAGCTTTTCTCACTATTGCTCGTGTACCCTTTACACTTATAGTACAGTGCTGATCCCACAAAAACAATGAGTTCTCTTGAAGTCAATTCTCTGTTCCTTAAGTTCTATAGAATGAACAATCAAAAGGATAAAATATTTATCTCGTTTTTCTAAGACCTATTATCTTTTATTTAGTTTTGTTGTTTAAATACACTTTTAGACAAGCTAGAATTCTTGCAAAAGGCAAAACATAAACCATATTTTACATTTGAAAGTATAAAATCGCCAAGCTACCAGCATCAAAATGTGAAAATACCAAACTACCAGAGTTAAATAATAAGGAAAGTTAACCCTTAAAATAGAGTACAGCAATTGTTGAATCTCCAATAGCAACTTCATATTTTCTTCTCATGATCAATTTTCATGGAAAATGTTGAGGATATGGAAATAATAAAGAAGGAAATCCTTGAAACAACAAGATAGTGGCTTAAAGGATAATGAGCTTTAGTTATATTCTCAACTTTGAAACTTAAAATTACCAAATGTGTTTCATTTCTTCAGTAATGAATACCATACCACACATGAAATTATTTAGTTCTTGAAGGATTTTTTTAATTTGAAAAAAAAACTTTGTTGTACACAGTACCTAAAATTCATTTCAACATTAGTTCTTTTGAATACGCTCTATCTATACCTGTTCACATTTCCAGAGATATTAGAATTATTAATGATAGGAGAAAAGAAAATGAAGTGAAATTGACACCTAGTGTAGGGTTTTTCAGAAACTTTCAAAGATTTATTTACAAATCAGTAATTGAATTATGAGGAAATGTCTTTAGACTGACATAGATTAGTTTTTTGATATATTCTTTTAAGTCAATAATAATCATTAAAGTATTTCTGGCTTTAGTTTTCTTGGTTATTATGTATGTTTTAAAGTAATAAATTGCATATTTGAGGTTTTTAATTTAATCCTCTTTCTTGTTAGGGTTTTTTCTTACAATAGCAAAAGTTTAGAGATTATTAGACTAGTTCACTATTTTTCTAAGTCCTGGATATAGTATAATGACCTGCTCTTTTGCTTTCCCTTATTTCTTTTCCCAAGTCACACCAGGAGGAGAAGTTGTTAAGATCACAGGAACTTTGTCTTGCAAATTGTTTATACAATCTAGGTAAGTTATCCATTTATGCACTTCTGTCTTTGTGCATGTTGAAGACTGGTCATCTTATCCCTCATTTCATCATTCCCAGGTGACTATTATTTCATTTTGTCACATAATGCTAAATTTATCCTTTCCTTGGTAAAACCTTGTAGCCAGTTTGTTTTCTTTTCAGCCACTCAATTCTCTGAGCAGCAGGTAAAAATGGCTCATCTATACTTTCTCCATGATGGAATAAAATTATGTACAGAATAAGGTTTAGTTGGTCTGTTTCATGAATTTATGAAATAACTCAAACGAGGTTTTGAAATATTTTTAGCTGGACATAGTTACACGTGGGGAAGTCAAAAGGTTTTTGTCTGTGAAATCTTGATGTTCAGATTTATAGGTCAGTGCTTTTTTTTTTCTTTTCAGCACTACCCTAAACTATTCCTTTTAAAATCCCCAAAATTTTAATCAGAAAAGCCTTCAGAGAGGTGTAGTTATCAAATATCAAATGTTTAGTCTGTGCCACTTGATACTAAACATTTTTTCTGCAGTAGTACCAAAGTAGGAGAATGCTATTATTGCATTTCCCAGTTTTGAGACTATCCTATGTGATCAATTTGTTGATATACATTTTCTTCCCGATTTAAGATTAATCTCTAGTACATACAATTACTTCTTATTTGGAACCACTTAAAGCATTAAAAAAGTGAGTGATTTCTCTATGCATATATATAGAATTATATATTTACTTGCAATATCTCCTTTTGCACATTTTCTGAGGTTGAGGAGAAAGAGGTGGGTGATTAGATGAACTACGAATCTAATAGCTCTTAAATAGTTCTTCAAAACACACACAAAGACATGCACAGTGTCTTTTCTTAAAAATAATTCTGTTTGAACCTGAATAAATATAAACTGCACTGGCCTCTCCCATCACATTTCCCTTCTCTAATCTCCCTTATGCAGTCCCTTCATGCCCATCTTAGAACAAACACAATCTGCATTCAGAGCAAAACCATTTACAAGTTGAATGGAGTTATTTTGGGTGAGTCATTGAAAACACAGTACAAAACCTTTTCTCACTCACCAGAAATGCATTTTTAAAACAAAGCCAAGTGAACAAGGCTTGGCAAGTTTGAGGGTGAACGAAATGGGGAGAACGCAGGGTTTCTGCCAAACACAGGGTTATGCTAAACAATTTTTGGCTACTTCTATATATCCAACACTACTAATTTTCTTTAAAATCACTCCCTCACTGCCTTTATCAAAAAAAAAAAAAGTCATTTGCAGGTAGAAGATCAAAATAAGCTTATTTCATTTCAATCAACACTGTGATGATGATCAGACCCAGGTGATTCTTTCTAGTTTGGGGACAGTTTAAATCCCCCTTTTTGTTATCCATTGACCAGAAGCTTTCTGATTAAATTAATTTTGACATATTAATGCTAATAATGGATAATTTTTATAAAGTTGTATGGAGTTTCACTACGCAATCCATTAAATTGCTTTAAAAATTAGTGAAATTCCTTGAGTTAATCAAACAAACTATTAAATAAACTAGAGCTGTAGAATATAGAATTATAAGCTAGTTTCTAATAAACTTTTAAAATTGAATTAATAGTTTAAATAAAAGTATACATAATATCTTGGTAATCTGTGATATTTAACATGCAGGTATTCAAGATTTATGAGATGGTGTAGATTCTTAGTAGCTATCTGTAGGTCATAGTACTCACCTTTTATCATGTAGAGAACTTTGTATGAAAATACAAGTAATTATTCTTCCATAACCTCCTGCTGATCAGTTGAGCCTCACATTTCATGAATGAGAAACCTAAAATCAACAAGGAAACAGTCTTAGCTATATAAAGGCAATAGAACTCTTACAATATAGTTTGATAGTTCCTGAGAGTTACCTTTCACACAGGTTGAGACAGCATCACAGTGTGTACTAATTAACACACCTTATACTAACCCCTACACTTACAAGCATGGGGGCTACTCTCATGGGGGGCTACCCTCAAGGATCGTGACAGACCAGCTCTACTATAAGTAATATACAAGTATTCTCCTTGAGCACCCTGCACATTAACAGTTTCCACAAGGCAGGGTGACAATCACAGGTTAAAGGGAATGAAAACTGTGTTTGAAAGTTAATCTGGCTATGAAAGCACCAGGGTCATAATAAACAAACACATATTTCCTGCTGTAGTTAAGAGAATAGCAAAGAACTCTTGTTTCCCACATTTGAGGGAATTTTCTTCCCTTTCTGTTATAGTTAAACAATTGTTTTTACTTTATAAAGTACTTAAACAGCCTTGAAAGCTTATCTCTTCCATTTAAGTATGATTTTTATCTCATTCACTCGCATTTAGATATAATCTACATATGACCAAAAGTTAAAGATCTAAAAGTCTATTGATGGGAA